AGCAGGTAGAGGCGCGGTAGGAGGCGGCAAAACAGGCCGAAGGGAAGACATATGGCCGGTGACTGTCCCCGGTGTTGCACGACTTCTGTATTTAATGTTTGTCGTTTCTCGTATAGCGCCAACGAGTCAGAGAGCAACTTGGCAAACGCGCAGACTGGCAGCTAGGCAGGTAACAGCAACAATATGCCGTCGACACCTTTGGCCACAACATTAACTTTTTCTCATTACTGCCATAAGCTGCATGTTAGCTAGCGGGAAGGCCAGGACCGTTAGCCGCAGAGGGTTGCTGGCCCTAAGGGCGACAATACCACAGTTGCTTTTGTTAGTCGCGCACTACCCGCTGCCGGAACTGCGTGCTCCGACCGAGTGGGACGTGTGGAAATGATTCGCAGAGTTCCGGCTCGATAAACAAGTATCCTTCTCCACGATCGGCTCCTGTTCCTACCGGTTTCCCACTATCGAGGAATAAGCCGAATTTCGATGAAATTCAAGACTCCGCGATCAAGAACTGAAACAACCTGGGTTTCAGCGGATCGGTTTCGAAGAACTCGAGCTGCATTTTTTTCAACGTCGAGCAGATCGGACAAAGCGAGCGGCCCAGCGTGGACGGGCATGTTTTTTTCCGCAGGGATCGCCCTTGGCGTTCATTAGGAGTCTCACACATCTCTGCCTGCTGACGGATGAATGGTCGGCCAATGAATTCGTTCTACGGAAACATCTCCCAGCCTGGTTGGAGTAGGAATTCCTCGACCGAGTTGGAGCAGCCGGTCGATCGGTGACTATTCGAAACGTGGCGAATGGTAGCGGCGATTAAAAAAGCCGAGCAGTCGATTCGATGGCGACTATGCTTGTTCGTAATGAGGAATAATCATCCTCCCTGTCTAAGAACAGCTGAGCCTCGGGACGGGATGGCGAGTGGGTGGGAGGCTGTACTGCATCGACTGAGACAAGCCGGCATAGAGAGAGCGAAGATCTTCCTCTGCGAAGAAGCCCAATTATCGCTTGAACAGAGCAAACAGTACGTGCGGGACTGGAGCGGTTATCCTCGGACAGCCTCGTTCCGAAGCGACACGGCCTCGTCGAACTGGTACACAAAAGGGAAAAAAAGTTTCTTATCGTGCCGAGAGTCATTGGTCAGATCCGACGGTGGCTTCTCCGTTCGTCACTAATTCAGGGTCATCCATTTTGGTCGGACGACGACCGACGCTATCGAGGAGCCCAGTCAGCCCCATTCTCATATACCAAACTGTCTTTATTGCAAGAAGAAAGAAAAGATTTCTATTTAAAACCTAAACCCTTCGCAAGGGGTGGCGCGAAGCCTCGTTCGCGAAAACATTCCGCTTCGTCGATATCGTCCCGCCGATCCGACCTCGCCCAAAGGCGACCCAATGCAGCTCGCCGTAAGGAGCAATCAATGTACGTGGGATCCATCATTTCTATTGAATGCCTGGCATTCTGTTGATGGCTGTAGACGTTCGATCGAGTCACCCTTCGTGAGTTGGTGGCAAGATCAGAGAGCGTAGGCCATCGGTGCCGAGTGAGATAAGTTCGGTCGCCGCTGCGGGTGCCGGACAAAAGAAGGATCGACCCGAGGACGCATCTGAATGGATTCATCAGGAGGGCGCGGTTAGCTGCTGACCGATAGGACGACGACGCCGACAACGACGGCGGCGGCGGCCAACTCCACGACCGGTGCTATCGCGGTCCCGAGATCGAGCTCTTCATAACGTTGCTCCCGCGCGTTCCTCGATGTCCCGCAACGTATGGCAGAAACAGCAGCGCCAGCAGCAGCATTATCCCATCAGAGTTTTCACCACGTCGAACGGCTGTGAATAAACATTCTGAGTCGCCCGAGGCTTCACGGTTCCTCGCACCTTGACGCGGAAGGCGCAGAAGAAGATCAAGAAAAAGAAATCGACAGCGGCGGTGCCGACGACGGTAGCGGCGAAGGAGGAGCGAACACACTTTCCATTCAATAGAACTTCCTCTCTGCTTGACGAACCACGGCCGTCCGGTCGCTCGCTCGCTCTACAATATGCGCGCTCAACTGGAAGTCGATGTAAACAGTTTTGAGCACACATAAACGCCTCGGTCGATGAATGAACGAATGAATGAGGAACATTCGAATGGTCGCTCGGACGGACGGACGTACGGCCGCACCGCCCCACTGTAAATACAAAGGAGGTAAACAAGAGTGATATCATTCAAGTGGCACCGTCGCTCGGCGACTTCACTCCACCGCCTGCTGGTTAGTCGAGTGGAATCCTCGGGAATCGAGATAGAGAGTCTCTTCTCCCGACTCTTTCAAGGCTTCTGATTGCACCGGTTCACGTGTATTTATGGTGGTTTTCAAACGTGGCTCGATGACTCCCGGTGCTTCGACACGTAGGAACTACTCCGTCGCCCCTCCCCGCCCCTCTTTTTGCATTTCCTTCATCTTGCCGCTCCTACCAAGCCGTATGTCGGACATTCGACTATTGCGTTCCACCTTCGAAACCACTGTTCGACCGCTACATAAAAGTTTATGGCCCCGTCTGGCCATAGTCGATTACCTCTGTCGAAGAACAGCCGGTAGAATTTGAAATTCGATGCCTTTTTCCACAGGATGTCCGTGAGCGATCATATAAGCTTTGCGCAATCGTCCCGATGGAGAGCCCTTCAAGAAAAACCGATCCGAGAGCAATGCAGTGTGCGCGTGCTTCCGCCAGGGGGTCCGTCTACGAGCCCCTGAGAATGCTACCGACCGTATGACGCTCCTCGGACATATTGTACGTTGCTGACTATACGACTATGTGCCGAAGTGTTTCCCAACCACTCCTGGCCCGATTCCCGCGAGGGGATTCGGGTGGTGGGTCCTCGTCGGGTTTCGAGGAGTTCACTGAATGGGAGAGGAATCACCTTTCACGATGCCCGACGAGCTCCGCTCCTTTTCACGCAAGGGTTAGATTTTTGAATCTGGTTAAGCGACGAAAAGATTGCATTGTTCCAGGAGTGGAGTGGGAGTCAAGATTTATATCTCTGTCAGCGACACACCGAACATTTTTTTGCGAGTGGCTACGGAAGTTGTGTAGTGGTTGTTGTTACTGTTATTGTTGTTCGAGGCGGCGCCGCTGCTGCCACGGTCGACTCCATCGCTGGGTGGCAACAATGGCGTCGTCGTCGTAGTAGGAACGACCCGAGTTGTGATTGAGGTGGCTTTTGGTAAGGGTTAGGAGCCCTTAGATGCAGAGCATTCTGCGTGCGGCGTCCGGGGATTGGGGAGTAGACTGGGGCACAACTCAGGAAGTGGCTTCTCATGATCATCCCATTCATCCGGAGACGCGACAAAAACAAGAACAAAAAAGTAAGGTGGAGTCATCCAGTGGACCCCGAGTGACTGGAGACACCCTCGAGCCTGACTCGCGCGGGAGCGCATGCTGGCAATTTCCACCAATTAGCCATCGCTCGCCCCTGAAAACCCACAGATTGAACGCAATTTTTCCTTTGAAACGCGAAAGCGTTTTCAGGGTCGACCTGGAACGGGCGCGCCTTCGGACCCCGACTCAGCCTGGGAAGTAAAATCCGGAATCCGATCGGAGATCTTTGATTTCCTCTTGAAGGATTGAATTTAATTTCTTACAGGTGAAGTACTTCCCGGACTTTTCGTACGAAATTCCGTGAACCGCATGTTGAATAGGCCTGTCAAGGGCCGGAAGCTATGCGAGCGCGCCGACGCGTGGTCAGCGTTGAGGTTTTTCGACTCTCCTGAGGCAAAGTGTCGTATCGAGCTGGCCGTGATGCGGTGGTGACTGTTGTATTGGATGCGAAATGTCGATATTATACCTACATTTTACGTGCGTAACTCGACGCAATGGTCAGAATGAATGACGATCCTCCGCGATCGATTGGACGACGCCGACGCAACGATATAGGGTGCGAGGAAGCGACGGATCGAAGAGGAAGTCAGAGGAAATCGCGGAGGGGTGAACTGTCTGACAATGTGTGACGGAAAGCGCGAATAACTGCGAAAGCCAAGAGCCGAGCAAGAAAAAAATCATTCTGTGGGCTCTTCCTTTCGACTCTTCCGATATCAGCTAATCAAGTGGTGGCTCAGTCGCCCGTAAACTCCCCTTACGACAGATACCCGGATTCTCTCCCTTTCCCCCCTCCGGGGTCCCGCAGTGGCACTACTTTCACCCACCTGCTCCCCCATTGAGAGCCAGCCAGTCAGTCAGTCAGCGAGCCCACCGGCCGCAGCAACACTCTGCCCTCATCTCTGTGGAGGAGGAAATTCCCGTCGGGCCAACTTTTTGTCTCTTTTCAATAGAAGAAGTGCGACACAGAGGCAAGCAGGCAGGCAGGCGGACGGGCGGGCAAGCGATGAGAGCCAATGGTAGGAAACGTATGGAGAGCTCTCGTCGTCGCTGTCGTGGTCGTCGAGTACGACGGCCAAGCAAGCCAACGAGCCGCTCCGCAAGCCATCCAAGCGGCGGCTCACCAAGAGCCCGCAGGTGGCCTAATGTCGGTCGAACTTTTGTCGCTGGCCAATGGTCTGTCTTACGAGAGACGTTCATCCGTAAATTTCGTCGCTTCCTCTTTTGGGGAGGTAGGTTTTTCATTTTTGAAATCGCTCCGCTCATTAGGTTCCCTTGGATCCAGGCTCCTTTTGTCCTCAAACAGGGTTCGAATCTTGTTCCAGAAGGCTTCACGAGCTTCCGCCTTGTCGACGGATATCGTTTATGTTTTAGGAGGAAATTCCCACCCTGACGGGATCAGACTCGGTCGGCAAGGACCGACAGGTGACGAAGATGATTCAAAAGGATATCGAGCATTTCCGAAGAAGTCTCTCCGCACGATGCTTTCGGAGAAGAGCTCCCCGGCGGAAGGGCGCGTTTCGTATACGTCCGTAGCACGGATGAGTGCACCCTCCTTGGATTATCATCATGAAGGTGCGACTCACCGACTTGAAGAACGGCAATAGATAGGATTCTTGAAAATAAAATTGAGGGTTCAGGAACTTGGAATTCTCTCAGGTTTTATTCTCGGCAGACGTATATACAACTGGAAGCTTCGATTACTGCTGCGCGTGCTTCTCTACCGCTTTCGTCGCTTGCCGAAGCGTCAAATCGAGGTCTTCCAACTGCGAGACGGTGCAGTGGAACTGCACGTCGTCGTGGCCCTCGGACGTCGCGAGTTTCAGTACGCAGCCAGCCCCGTCCAACTTTTCGACTTCGGTAGACGTCAAGCGACAGTTAACGGAGGCAACCGAATCGACTATTTCCCCTAATGAGCACGGGCTGATTCCTCTCATCTTGGCACGGAAAGATGCGACGTTGTCACGATATGCGGTGACAATCGCTCGTATCCGCTTCGAATCGCTCAATCCACTGATTTCCTTGAGTTCTTGCTCTAAGGTGTTCTCTGTCACTCCAAACTTTGACGCTTCGACGAGGACCGCCATGATCCCGAACATCAATTGGTCAAGGTTTCGCGGCTCAGACGGAAGTCTGGATTCATCTCCGGGGCTGAGGCGATCTGGAAAGAGACAAATTCTATACGTCTTGTAGATGTACTAGCGGCTCTCTACGCGGAGATACCGAGTCAGCTAAGCTCGACAAGCTCTTCCGTGGGGAGCTGCGGAACGCTCGGCAGAGGAAGCTGCCGATACAAGTCTCGGATGTCGAGTTCCGAAACCAGGAACTTGAAATGGCGGGAATGCGTGATTTAACGTCCGGCGCTGCCTCGATACATCGCGGAACACGCGGCTCCGATCAAAAGTCGTTGGAGGATTGTTGGCTCTTTCTGCCGATGCATCCGCCAGGCCAAGAGACGATGCGCAATCATTGCTTCTTCTTCGTGATCTCTTTGTGATCGGAGTTCACCGCAGGCAACGATAAGTTCGCTTACCGATCGCCGCCTTGAGGGCGGTTTCGAAAACGCTATCCGAAGTCTCTTCTTCATTGAGGGCTGACATCGTTTTATCGAAACTGATGATGTCTTTCAGATCCATCATGGATTGGTCGTATCACATAAAGGCTGGAGGGGGTGAACGTCTCTGGAGTTCCACGAACGAACTAGAACTTGACTTGACAGCTACAGTCAGCTGATAGCGCTGTCAGAGCAGAGCGAGCCGTAAACAGGCCCCGGCGAGGAAGGAGCAGACGAACCGCCGCTTCACCCGGAGGTCTTTAAGACACCCGGGATCGTGTTCGCATCCCGGGGCGGAAATCGGCGGGAGTACAGCTCCATCCACCCATAGTTAGAGTCCAGGAATCCCAAGCGACCAGTTAGGAGCGTAGGTGGCCGTCTCGCCGGTACCGTCGGCGAAGGGCGGTGAGCGCGCTTCCCAAGGGCTGATCGCCCTGACTTCCCCCCCCCCCTCCCTGCTGGACTATCGGCTCCCCTCCGAATCAACAGTTACGCTTTTTCCAGGTACGGTCTCCAGCACGGTATACGTCACGTCCCTCGTCCGGATCTTCCATCGTGAAAATCACCCTTCCAGCGAGGAACTTCGAAAGCCTTCCTCGTGCAAATAAAGAATCATAGGAGGCTCCGTTTCTCTCCATAGAGGTTTTCACTCACTATTCGCTACTTTCGCTTCTGTCCAATTTCGCAGTCTCTGTCAAAGTGTCATTGGAGAACAATATTTCACCGCTCCCGCAAGACGACGGCAAAAACGAGAGAAGCGGACTAGGAGAAAAATATGGGGCACGGAGCGTGAGAGAAACGAAGCTCCGAGAGAAGGGAGAGGAGACCTTCTTTAGGAGTGCGCGTCTCGGGAAGGCCTGGCTCCGGGGTTTGTCCACTTAAAACGGAGTGGGTGCGGGAGCGGTCGTCGACCATCTATGCACCGCTGCGGCTTCGCGGGCCATCATCTAGCCAGCCGCAGCGGCTGGCTGTCTGGCTGGCTGGCCGGCCGGCCGGACGGACGACCAGTCAGGGTCATCCCCGAGAGGTGACAGATAATAGCCCCGGAGGACACGCATGTCCTCTCACCGCAGCACGTTAGAGGGCTGAGTGGTCGACGTGGAAAGAGCCGGTCGCTCGCTCGCTCGCTCGCTCGGTCAGCTCGATGGCAAACACCCGCCCAGGACCCGGGTTACTGGATGCTGCCGGCCTGCCCCCCAGCAAGTTAATTTACTCAGTTCTTGCGTGTCTCTCGGGGACCGATGATAACTGTGGTTTTTACTTAATAAAGATGGATGGTGCTTCCTGACGCGTCTTATCTCTTCGTGTGCCTTCTTCGTATCCTCGTCTAACCGACCGAGAGAGTGTTGCTGTGACGAAAAAAGGAGTTGTGACGACGACGGCCTCCACCTGTGAAAGGAGAGCGAAGGGGAGGGGAAGAAGGTACCTACGCACAAAAACCACCGTAACCGAGCGCTGAGGATGCACAGGCTAAAGGTTTCGCATCACTACCCACCTCGCACTCAACCGCCAGCCGAGATAGTGGGGACCTACGTAGGCAAACCTGAGACGCAGAGGGGAGCCTGGGCCGGAGAGGGGTCGGGAAAAAAGAATGAGGAAGCAACAAAAGGGACAACACTCCACTAAACCACCGAGACGATCGAGGTGTAAAAGCTTGGCTAGGGGCTTGGGGACCATGGGGCTCCTCTCCGTTCCCTTTCGCGGGCAGAGAGATGAAAGAGTGAAGAAAGAAACCGCTAAGGACTCCTGGGACGAGGTCGCGCATCCAGCCAACTTGCGGGCAGCTTCTACTTATCCTTCCGCAAGTCTTACCCATCTGCTCTCTCTAATGCTCTCTGTTTTGTCACTCACTTCTGTGCATCCATTCGACCTCTCGCTGCTCCTTTCGAATCGGCAGCGGTACGCGAAACGAGCCACATTCATCTGGCTGGCGATGTCCATTCTCGCGCTCTCCGCCGCTCACGACGAAGCTGAGCGACCGCCGGACGCCCGAATTACCTGCTGGATTGCATCGAGGATTCTGAATCACTGATTCTGGGGTCAATGTCTCGCCCTGGGCCGCTTAGTCGATCGCGGATCGATTCCACCAGCTATCAGGTGGGGTATCTTTCTTTGGAGGATGAACTCGTCGAACATATTCACTCGAATGCACAGTGGCCGGGACTACGATTTTTATCGCTTTCCACCTCCCTCCTCCTCCTCCTCGTTTTCAGCGTTGCGCTCAATCCGTTCAAGACGTCGCGGCAGAGAGGCTTTGTTCTATATCTCAAACGACATCCGATGCTCTCCGGTCGCATGCGTTTGCGCTCTCGGTCAGCGACCGTGGCGATTGAGAATTATCCTGTCCTTTTTGAATGAAGGGGAATGGATGAAACTTTCGATGGGAAAATTCATGACGAAGGCTGTCGCCGTCCAGTGGACAGCACGATAAGGCGAGCGAAAAGCAACGAACTTTGCTCGAATTAAGGGTGAGATTCGCAGACGGGAAACGCGACTCGCCGAGATATAAGCAGAATGCGGCTCGAGCCTGCGAGAGCATTGTCGCTCGCTTCTGATTTCATTCTGATTTGAATAAGGAACTTTTGATTCGGACGTCGTCTCCGACCGGGACAAGGAGAAGATTGGACGCTTTCAATGGAATCCACGACCGATACGGAGCTGCTCGGGGAGAGCAAGAGACAAAGCATCTCCGAATTAGCCGAAGACTCCGGCCGTGAGCTGGCCCGCTGCGAGCATCAGCAGATGTCGCCGCCTACGTTGGCGACGCCTACAGGCCCAGCGCGGAGGGGGAGTATGAGACAACGGCGGCCACATCGTCGAGAAATAAGTGAAAAGCTCTCCTTGCGCTGGACATTGTCAAACAGATGTCACCGAACGGCGGCAACAGCAGCAGATAGACGGGCGGCCACAGCGAGAGGAGACAAAATAGACAAACGCCACTTGCCGTCGTCGCGTCATTCGCGAGGGGAATAAGCACTCGGTCCCGTCGTACCCGCCGGCACGGAGTCAGGTGTAGGCGACGAGATTGAATGAATTCAATCGACGACTGCGTCGTCGCCGCCGCTCACCAGCTCGTTCTTCCTCGCCCGGTTGGACAGCCGAGTCCGCAGATAGAATTTGAAACGCGCTTTCTCTCCCGTGGACTCGATGGACAACAACGAGAAAGAAGTGCACCGCTGCCGATGCTCTAAGTGGATGGGAAGCGAGTCAGGGAAACGACTGCGATCGACAGCCACCACCGAGAAGCTCCTTCGACCAGGGAAGAACAACAACAAGAAGAAGTCGTCGACGACGATAGAGAAAATCGTATATGACTCTGTCAGTCCGGAGGGAGGCGAAACAACCACGTCCACGACGACAAGGAGGAAAAATGAGAGGAATAACGAAAGGAATTCACGACGACACTGGCTGCAACATCCTGCAGCTGGGCAGCAGCGCATGAACTGCAGAGAAGACTTCAGGAGGCGAACGAGGGAAGAGAAGACAAATCGAGATTTTATTCAGTTTACAGATGGCGATCGTTTGGTCACTGGATTCTCCACCTTACCCGCGCCCCGCTCTGCAAGCGCTCCCCCGACGGCGGATTCGCTGATCGGCCGGTGGACTGGCCTCCGTCCATGCGAGCAACTCCACCGCTGCCGAAGATGCTGATGTACTGGACCGAATACAACAATGACTCTCCTTCTGAAGGGGGCACGTAAGTAGCTCGGATCAGAACGAACGTAATTTTGCTACAGGGGAAGAATCCTCTCGAGAACGCGCACTCCCGAAAGCAGATTTCGTTGCTCACAGAGGGCAGGGGCGAATGACTTCAAACAATTAGAATTTCGAACACGACTCTTCGACGTCAGGGCCTCTTTTTTCGTTCCATGAATACCCTCAACATACGGAAGAGTTTTCTCTTACTCAGGCAGCAAACAGGGGAGTTCCAGCGGTTGCTTCAAGGCCTTAATCGACTACTTCGCCCACGACAAGCGATTCGGACAAACAGTCGGACGAAGTAGTCGGGGACATTGAAAGCTGCGCATGGGTGAGATTCCGGTTCCCCAGGTCCCCGACAGGAGGGATTCGATCACAATCCGTTCGGCTATGAGCAACATCGGAATATAGACAGGCGGAGGCATGACAAGAAGTCGACGGGAAAAACTTCGAGGAGTGCCTAACATCATCAAAATCGAACAAGCACGAAAGACACTGCTGAGAGCAAGAGTTTCGCTCAAATATTTATGATGCTTTATCCCCCGCTCTGCTCTCATCATCTTTGTCCTCGTCGTCCTCATCGTGGTCGAGCTGGTGATAGCGGCGCTGCTCCCTTCGGTCGGTTGTCAATGGCAAATATGTTGTCCGTCTGTCTGTCCATTGGCATTGCGGCAGAGAAGGTTCGCTCGTTAATATTAGGACGAGATGTCGAGTTCACAGCTCTCCGGCAAGGAGGAAAGAAAAGACTGGCGTCTGTATGCTCCTCACGTGTCCTGAAATATGTACCCGGGAGCATATCTATCGCCGATCATTGACTTTTGAATAAATCGCTACAGTTGAGAATACGACAATTCGCTTTCGCGAAAAGTTCTGTTCGCCTTCGAGAACGAGGGGACATTCGTTTGATGGCGGGAGAGGCTGGGCTGAGACAGTTCCGACATCATATATGAAGCTCCGCATAGCTCGTCAACGACGAGTTCAGCGAACTGCGGACAGCAAATTATCACGTGCTACCGAATGGACGTCACTCTTCACCTCGCAAACCATATCAATTATTACACGGGCAGGGCGCGGAGCGGCCGTTCCCTGAGAACGCATATGCTCCATGGCCGAGTATATCTTCAGTATTTACGGGTGAGGATCCATCCACCCGCACCTCGGATCGGAGGGCAGGCGCTCGGTCGCTGCGAGGACTGCGTCGTCAATTATCGATTGGTTAGCAGAGAGCTCCGAGTTTGGGGCGGGGTAAGAGGTGCCCTCCTCTCTGGAAAGAAGCAAACGCGAAGAAGAGACGTTCCACGTCACACGTACAAGCAGCTGCAAAGGTAAGCCAGGGGCGCGGGCCTCTGCACAGTGCAGGTGGAGCAGGAGCAGGGCTCCTGGAAAGGGCTCGGCCGGGACCTGCAACCGCCTTTCGCTTCTTGATTCTCGACCGACCGTCGATGATCCCCGACCGCCGCTGCGGTGGCGGAGGCGGCCTCCTCGGTTCCGATAATTTGAATTCCTTCGCAGAGAAAGATCTGAGCTCCCGATGCTGGAAAGCCCCATTTTTCAGGTTTGCGGGAGCGAGTCCTGCTCCAATTTTGAATGCTGGCTTTTCTGATGGAAAGATGAAGAATGAATGTGAGGGATTCGCGAAATCTTGCGCGGAATGGTATGCAATGCTTCGTCTTAGATTCTGGATATTTAATTGCGCTAAGAAGACCTGGAATCCGATCTTGAAGGTATACTCGATGATAGGCCCGGCCCGGGGTCCCTCTAGGAAGTCTCACGTACAGCTTCTGGCAGGAGAATCTAGTGCCGAAGCTGGCCGCAATTATTCATCATGAGTCTCGAGGAAGCTCCGGAAAGACGAACGGTTCTTGCAAACGGCTATATCAGTTCAGCCATTTGGAATGAGAGTTCGAGGAGAGATGTCAGTCAGGGAAGAGGACGAGAGATCCCTTGGAAACTTACCGTAATCTTTTATTAAGCGATTTTAGGATTTATAAAAAAAGCTCCGCCGTTTCCTGATTCCACCATGCCTTCCGAGGCTAGGCGTGATGGGACACATGACCCGGTGGAACTTGCTTCATTGGTTCATATCTTAAAAAGGGGAGCGGTGCATTGAGGTATGGCGTCATCATTCGCTGATATCGGCGAACTCCATCTCTGACCCCAGTCCAATAAGCAACTTCAATTTCGTCTCTCGACGGAGGCATGATTCCCCCGCCAGCGTGAGGCGAAGCGTGCGAATTTCTGAGATCTTTCGTCTCGCTTTCGCCCACTGCCGTAATATCTGGAAGCGCGGACGATCCGGCTGTGGGAGAATCCGCCTCGAGCACTTCATTTGGATAAAATACGGTCGGTGAGGTGGCTCTGGGATTCGATTCGTTCCTCCGCTTGAGAGACGCTTCTGCTTCGCTCTTCGAATTATGGAGCTCCAAGAGATGAACGCTTGGCAGCCTCTTCTCCTTATTGGCTTTCGAAGGTTCTTTCCAGGGCACGGCGACAATACAATGTTCTCCCATGCGCAGACTCAAATGGTGGGGAACTACGCATTTAAGAGTCTGTAGGTCGACATTCGCCAAGCTCTGGCAATCCTCAATCAATACCCTACAGTAATCCTCCGCCACGCCGTAAATTTGAGCGTACCGCAGATTTTGTGCGATTGGAGTGACCTGGAACGAGGAGCGAGATGAAGTACATACTTTGTTCGTGAGGTTTGACTCATACGATGTCATTCGTGACAGTTCTCCGAAGATAACAGAAACGTCTCGAGTCTGATAGCTCCTCTGATAGAGCATTCCAATCGGTAGAATGTTCTCCACATTCTATGACTCTTACTGACCTCACATGCTTGGTATCCCGACTTCTTACCGTAGCACACTTTGAAGCGCACCTGGAATTTTGGGGCGTTCATTTCAATCCCTGGATGGGCTCATGAGTCCAAATCACAAGTTCTGGGATGGAACATCGAATCGGAGGATCACGAGTATCGGAACGGAGTCGAAGATATGCTGGAGAAGTCGGAGCTTCACAATTATGGTTACCCACCTTAGTGTCTGGTTCGACATATTCTAAATCTTCTGCTGGAACACGGAGCTCTCTCAGAGGAAATCGAATAGAGCTCGGTAGGATCTTTTCTCCTGACGGCGCTATGCCTATGAGGCCTCGCTCCCGCTTTAAATCGATCGTTTGGATGTACCCTTCACTAAAAACTCTCATTGCGTTCTCTAGGAACTCCATGATCACTCAGCAAGGCCAACGTGAGAGGACGAATCGTAGAGGACTGTGAATCGAATTCAGATTCCGTACGCGCGCGACTGCACTTGTTGTCGATACCACTTGCACGTTTAGGTGATACTTGAGTGCGGACTCGACGGCGATCAGGAATTGTTTTGAATCGAACTGTGGGGCCGCCTTAGCATGCTCGCGATAGGGAATTCCACTTCCGATCGATCGCAGACGGAATAAGCGTCATACGGAACTCTCCTGGATGATTGACTAACTATAATCCGTTTCCCAATCTCGACGGGACGAACACATAAAGCGAATTCCAAGGCGGGAAGAGGACGATCCGCTGTTTTAGAGCGGCGATCCGTGAGTTCTATCGCTTACAATATGCGCAGATAGCGAATGTCGAAACTCCAGTGCGTGACAACATCTCGGCTTATCTGGGGTTGCGTTGAGTTCAGCGAACGGGTCTCCATACGGTGGCTGGTCTCGGGCGCGCATGTGTCAGCGAAGCGTTATCTCTCCGTGTCATTTAATTGTGTCATGGCCTCACTATTAATAAAGCGTCTAGGGTTGCTGGCCGTAGACATTGTTGCCGTTGTTTGAGACATCATTACAGAAGCTATACCGGGCGGTGGTCGTGATGATGTTGTTGCATGAACAGTCGCCGCTGCGGCAGCTGCTGCTGCTGCTTTTGGCGGCTCGGCTCGCGAACAGGTTCGACGGATTTCATTTGGAAAGGAGTGCGACAGACGCCAGAGCTCGACGGCTCCTTAATGAAAGCCGAGTCCATGCTTCCGAAGTGGTTGCGACCACCTATCTCGTGGCGTCGCCAGCTCGTGTTGACACAATCCGTCTAATGACAGAGAATACTGGGAATAGTTAGCAACCATTAGTGTCATCACTGTATGCTCACTTGCCTGACTGACTGTCGGTCCGCATGTCCGTTCGTATGTCTGCGCGCAGTGCCGCCTTTTGCCACAGCATTTCGAAATATGTACGCAAGCGCTGACTGATTCGTACATCATTAGGTGATGATAACCGACGATTCCTCGACAGGTTCCTCCACAGACCTTTGTCTCTCTGACAGAGAATATTCACAGCTCAGATCTACCGGACAGAAACGAGACGCTTTCTTTTTTGTCACATGTCAAGCCTCGACCGCAGAGCTTCGTCCAGCAGCGAGCTCTCGGTGCGCACCCACCTCAAAGGCGAGGCTGCATTTCGATGCGGTCCCAAAACCATCAGGTATCAGCCACTAAACCTACGGAGCTTCCAAAATCGGATAGGGATGGAATCGAAGGGTTTCATTTGTTTTCCAACACCGTGCGGGCGAGCCAACGCACCAGCGTGCCAGTGAGCATCGTTTCTAAGGGGAGTGAACATAATCGACCTCCGACCTGGGCCCTCCCTTTGGCCTCCCTCTCGCCTCTTTATACGACCTTTGGCATCTGAGACAAACTTATGTATAGGATAATAAAGCGGCACGCTTTTCCGTCTCCAATGGTCAACTTCCCGACCCTGTAGGGGAAACGGTTTGAGGATATAATTTCCCATGAGATTTGCTGCTGTAGGAAGCTCTGACTCCACATCGAGGACATTTTCCACGGTCTCTCGCATCGCCAACCTTAGACTGCTGGGTCAGACATCGGCTGGAATTTGCCAAAATTTTTCCCAAATATGGTTCTCGTTCCGGGCTCCTTCCGGAGCCTATGAATGTGCGGCCTGAACTCGATGGAGTCGCGGGGACAGCTGCGAGACCGGACGTTTGCAACGAGATGAAGGATAAATCCCTGGTGTCCTGTCCTACCTCCCCGGAAGTAGTGGTCAGGCAGGCAGGCAGCCAGCCCGTGGGTCGCTCGAACCGAGCCGCTCACTCCCCAAAGTCCCGTCGGAAGAATTTCATAGAACGCATTTCCGCTCTCGGAGATAGATCTGTCCACCTACGAATTTCATCTAGCACAAAGGATTACCACAAACCCTTCAAAAGGAAGTCATCCTGGTCGCCTACGATCACCCCCGACGGCGGTCGCGAGCCCGCAGAAGTGGGAGTTCGGTGAGGCCAAGGTAGGGGGACGGGATAGAACTCGTCGGAGAATGAGCCACGACGACATCGACGGCAGCGACAACTACGACCACCGCTACCACGAGCACGGTCACGACGACAAGATAAAACTTCGAATGATTCCACAACCAGTGAGGGTATGCAAAACGAGCAGGGGACCGAAGAGGCTCTAAGCATCTCCTGATTTCGCTGATCTGTCCCTAATGCATCGTGCAGGCTCCTATTAGGACTGAAGGACTGATCACCGCTGCTGCCGCTACTGCGACTTTCCTCCCATAGAAAGCGCGGTCGGTGGTAGCAGCAGCAGCAGCGTCACATCCTCTTTCGTTCTTCCCATGATCCGAACTTGACCATCTAAGGTTATGAAAGTCTCTTCCTCCCATCCCTCAGCGCCACTCTATTCGGCTCGGGGCTCGCTGGCGCGTGAAAAATGTGCTGTAACCCGATCCGTTGTGGTCAGTCAGTGTTTGAGATTTGTTTCGAGAATAGCACGGGGTGGCCAGCTGGACAGACTGCTTGGTGACTGACCGACCGACTGACTGACCGACCGAGCGGCGGTACGTCTCGAGCTGGCCCTCTCACAATCTCAGCTCGCTCCTGAATGGCACACAATTACCAGGCCCTCGCAAGCAACACATTACCGGAAGTGAAATTGCTGCAGCTCTGACAGCCTTTCCGGTTAGAGACAAAGAGTCCATCCGAAGGCGCGGTCAGCGAGGTCGGATTGCACCACTCGCCGAAGAGCCATCGACCATACGATACAAGAGCCCTTCCACTCGGTGAGCTCGCTGACCAACGACGCCATGGAGCTCATCTCCGATCCGACGATCCCCCGGTTCGACAACGTATCCTTTGCCGCGTCAAGGGATACGGGGCGGGAGCAACCAACAGATGACCGACCGATCCTGGCGCGAGAGAATGTTTCCTAATGCGGAGGTTCGCCATGACAAAATTATTTCCGCGCGCTCCCAGGCTGCGCTCTTGTTTTAGTTCGAAACTCTTGGCTGCAATTAGGTATCTAAAAGTCACCAACCGAATATTGCCCGCGACGCTTCTCATCGACTGCCGTAGAATGATTCACGTAGACGTACAAGGCTCCCATTTGAGGCGGAGAGAAGCGGACGAAGCAGGGGAGTTGAAGGTGGCCTGGAGCAGAGCCGTGAGGTTCCCGTGTGAATCACCTGCAGGAGGCAATCGGCCGCACGGGAGCGCCGGAGGTGCCATCGAGGTTCATCAGGTCGAGCTTCATTCATGCTTTTTTTGTTCCCCCGGATTCGGCGGAAAATGTGGCCCGAGGGCGGAAATCCCAGAATCCGTTTCGACCGGTTAACGCCTAAATCCCCAGTCGTATGCAAACGCTCGATTTCATTTCACTAATGCGGTCCCGGCAGCCGTTTGTCACACTTTAGGGGACTCGCCTTGCTAACTCACCGACCCGCGCTCGCAGCAGCAGCCGCCGAAACGGTCGCTTTAATCATCCGGGTGATTTTTTGAGTCTCTGATTCCGGGGTCTACGTCGGGTGTGAGAGCGGATACGCTGAGTGAGGGACGAATAGGTTGCTGAAAGCGGCCACAGAGGAGAAAGCAGCCGTCGGTCGCAACGAGAGACTGCAATGTGAATGACCTCGTCGTGCGCGTCCATTTGCGGTTTTGTTCCTTCTCCCGATGGTCCATGCATCGGCATTGATCTTTGCTCTTGCTCGTTACGTGTTCCTCTCCTTCTTCTTTTTCTTCTTGTCTATTGAGTTGGCGCTCAGTGAGCGACCACGGTCGGGGTGTTGATTGAATGGGGAACTCTCAATGGAGAAAATTGCCCTCAGCGAAACTGATGACATAGTCGAATTGGCAACAACCGACTGTGACTCAGTCGGTCGAACCGCGATCTCGGCGGCTTTCGGACTTCTTTTTGGATTTTCCTTCGGATTTTCCTTCGGATTTTCCTTCGGATTCTCCTCCGGATTTTCCTTCGGATTTTCCTCCGGATTTTCCTTCGGACTCTCAAGTGGATCTCCTCTTGGCTCTTCTCCTGGATTTCCCTTTGGAATTTCTTCTGGAAAAGCAACGCAGACGGGGAGAACCGCATGATCGGAGTTCCAGAGGCTCGAGGATCCTGTCTGACGCGGAGTCTCAACTCTTCGCAATTGCCCATGAGGAGCAATTGAACGACGGCGAGCGTGAGTTCCGGAGGTTGCGGCGAAGTGAGTCGGATCGACATCGAATGGCGCATCGACGAACAGATGGACGAACAAATATCGGTTTGTGTCTCTGCGGTGACAGATGACATTGCTCCTTTTCCGAAGCACAGCTCCCCAGGGCGACATCTAGACTGACTGCTGCTCCGACCGCCGCCGTAAATACGACAGACCAACTAAGACACAGCCTCACGACCATTTGCTCGTCGATATCGGGATCTATTGCCCAGCGAGGCGACCTATAGGACGAGAGGAGCTACGACGATGCCTGCTTGTTCGAACGCCCGTTCCGGGTCTCGTTGGCCCGTCTTCGGGCCGTCCACTCACTCAGTGCCGGTGAGCTCCTCCCTCGCTTTCGCAATCCTCCGGAGTGAGTCGAGCTTCGACATCGATATCAACACATTCGGCTTCAACCAACGCCCTGTCGCAAAACCATTTCCTACAAGACCTATAAGTAACCGGAGGTAGCAACAGCCATTTCAGAGCGATATAAAGCCCACACTTCAGATTCGAAAGAGGAAATTCGAGACTGGAGTCGGACGTGTACTCGGCGGCATAATTGAGGAATGAGTTTCGGGTTCGGATCTCCTCCCTCGATTACAGTACCGAAAACAAGGTCGAGTTCAATATACGTCAATCGAACCCGATGGAAGTTGATTCTTTAAGCTCGACCGGTGGTGGAGGTGAAATGCATATATTTCAGCCGAGGAAGGGCCGGGGAAGAATCCCCCGTCCCAGGAGGCGAACAGGTACCTTTACGTACCCCTCGACAGCATTTAGATTCACTCACACAGAGTA